TTCATGAGAAAATTCTCAAAATACATCGGTAGCATTGATAACAGGCAGCAAGAACAACAACCTCGAATTATTCACATTTTGAACGCAATTGAACTTTTCGCATAAATTTCCGTGGCAAGAACTCCGGGGCTTGTGCTGCTTTTTTATAGGCACATATACGGACAGTATTGAATTGAATTAAATTAAATGTAACAGCTTAATTGATAAATAATTTGTATTGTTATTGCATTAAATCGACTGAACCCGAGACAAAATGCGAGAATATTACCCAAACTGAAATTGATGATGCGGCTGAATGGGCTCCAGCCCCAACGAAGTTCAACAGATTTATTTAATGGTTGTGTGTGAAAGGCTTAACAGATACTTGCCAGTGCTTTTGGGGCTATAAAAATACTATCTACATTTCTGAGATATACTAAGCATCTTACAACGTCTTATTCTAGACTTAATAAGCTGAGGCCGTGACACAGATAGAGCCATAACGATCATTAACTAAAATGTGGTAATAGCTAGACTTTGAGTAAAATACATATATGTAAGAGCATGTAACCGGAATGTAGGTGTTACTTTTATCTGCGATAATTTGATAATTTATATAGACCAGTAACATTCAGTAGGTTATAAACGCAGTTTCGCTGATTGAGTGTATATGAGTACATGTGCACCAGCCTCAAGAACAAGAGCAGGGACATCAGAAAGAGACGCAAATGTGTGTGATGAAAGAGACAAGTAAATGTTGTTTTATTTAGCTCAGTTCTCCTCCTATTTTTATACCCGTTACTCGTAGAGTAAAAATGTATATTGTATTCGTGCAAAAGTCCGTCTATCCGGCTGTATAAACGCTGAGATCTCGGAAATTGTAAAAGATACAGGATTGACATTAAGCAAGCAGGTTCTAGGGGTCCATACGCAGCGCAAGTTGGTTTTATCATGGTACAACGCCCCCTGTAACGCCCACAATCCGCAAAAAAAAACTCTTGGCGCCAATTCCATAGATGCCGCGTGTTCAACACTGTTGCTGGTGCTGGAAAAAACCTGGTCACTCTAATTCGCAATATGTTAAGGAAAATCTAAATCTAAAGAAAGTTGTTAAGCTGAGTAACGGGTATTTTATAGTCGAGGAACTCGACTATAGCGTTCTCTCTGGTTGCACCTAGGTTCTTTTTATTTTATTTATTGCATTTTTGGTGCATGGTCAGTTATCATTGGTGCTCGTCCGCTATCGGTATCGCTTCCTGGTTGAAATCGAAAGCACACAGAGAAAACAAGAGAGAACGCGGTAGTGGAGTACTTCGACTATCAGTTACCCATTACTCAGCCAAAAGGAGTGCGACGGAGATAGAGATAAGCAGTCGTCAAAGCTAGCGGCGCCATCTAGCGGTCATTTCAATTTACAACTTTTAAATGCATTGCCCGATTTTACAAATTTCTTTTATATTTCGATAGGTATTAATAAACACCAAAACATGTGCACGAATACAACATACTCTTTTACTTTACGAGTGAGAAACAGGTATAAAAATAGTGCATTTTACAATACCAATTTTTCAAGTTTAAAATTTTAATTGTAAAATTTACGGTTAGATGGTGACTGCAGGGGTATTAAATTAGGCCGAAGCTAGCTTCCTTTCTTTGTTTTGCGTGGTTTAACCCTGTTTGCGATTTTTACGCAACTCAGCGAACTCTTTAAATTCATTGTGTGTTTGCTGTCGATATGCTGGCACTTGTTTTCGATTTTATTTTAATTAAAATTATGTCACCGCAAATGAAATGTTATTGAACCAGCACGAACGATGCTTGCCAAATCGACGAGTTCATTAATTTGGATTTTGTAAATTTCATACAACGTGCGGTAACAGCAACATCAACGATAGCAACAACACTTGCAATATTAATACACACGAAACTTTTCGGAGTTCCCATAATTTATGCCCATTGTGATAAAGAAACAGTCGGCTTCGCGACGAGAACGAAAAAAATATAGGGAGTAATTAAGAATATCGCAGCGAAGAGCGTTGTAACTCTGGACGGAAAATCGTATAAAAGAAATTATTCGTTGTTGTCTGCGGAAAAGTTGGTACACCCAAAAAAAAAATCGACTGAAATCGCCCTTGGTTTTAGAAAATCGCCTATAAATTTGCTTTACTGGCGATTTTGTCTATATTAAAGAAAGTATGTTTTTAAAATCAAAGACGTTTTTTCTAAAAATCAAAAAAAATAGACTGCAATTTAGAAATATTTTGCTAGAAAGTAAAAAATTATTTCTTAGAATTTAGAAATAAAGGTTTTCTAAAAAATAGAAATACGGTTTTTTTAAATATAGACAAATATTTTTTAAATAAAAAAAAAAAAATTCTCAAATTCAGAAAATACAAAAATCTATTTTCGGGCTTCGGAATTATACCCGGTTGTTTCTGTGACGCCACGGCCTTTGTGTTGTTTATTTTTTCGTTCTTGTTTGTCACCTTATTTTAATTTCCTTTAATTTAGCACATGGGTGGTTTCAAATTGGAACTGAAATGAGTGTACAAATTACAAATTATAAATATAAAAACCCAATAACTTACTATTTTGAGAAAAACATCTTGGTCGCCGCACGCGGGATTCGAACCGCTAACCGCTCGCGCCTCACAGTTTGCAGTCAAGCACTCTACTAGCTACGCCACGGAAGCATCACGTGAGGCGCTGTACAAAGTCTATTCACATTTTGTTCTCCTATTTTTACTCAAATTGATCTGGCTTTCTTCTGGTTATTCCTTTTAGTTTATCTTTTAATTTTACTTTTAAATATTTATTGATTAATATTAATATTTATATATTTATTATTTATTATGGTTCAATAGTAACAGTAATTGAATGTTTCAAATTTGAAAAACTTAAACAAAATGCAATACATTTTTTTTTATTAATATGTAACTATTAGTGTTAAAAAAAAAAACAAAAAGACACCACGAGTTTTTCGTCTCGACGTGGGTTTGAACTCACTCTTGCAGCCGCAAGCTTGAATAACATATGCATGCACGCACGCGTTAGACCCCTAGGCCACCAATCCCGGAAATTTTCTTCGATTAATAGCGATTTTTTCTTAGGCTAAAAAAAACTTTTCTAAAAAGTCTATAAGAAAGGAAATCGATCAAATACGGTTAAATTTTTTATTTTCTAGAAAAATATTTCTTAATATCACACATTTTTTTCAAAATGTTAGAAAAATCTTCAAAAAATTTTTCTGTTATTAGAAAAACAATATTTCTATTATGTAGAAATATTTATAATTTTAATGGCAATTTTTTTTTAGTTTTAGAAAAGTTCAGTCTTTTTTTTCTAAAATCAATGGCGATTTTAACCCTCAAAAAAAGAAAGGATGATTAGAAAAATAAACCTTATAATTTAGAAAAAAATTGATTTTTCTGTATTTCAGAAAATATTTTCTAAAAAAACTCGTTCAATTCAGAATTTTTTGAAGATTAGAAAATTTTTCTGAAGATTAGAAAATTTTTCCTCTTTTTAGAATATTTTTTTGAAGCACAGAAAAATTTTTTTTTCTATATTTAAGAAAAAATAATTTTTTGAGTGTACCCTTATTTTATTTTTAATGCCAATAATAATGAAAACAGATTCAGAAAATAGAGAATTTCGTTTGAAATTTGAAATCTCGAACTATTGCTTAAGGTTTTTGACGAAATAATCCTATAAAAAAAGGTTGATATATGAATAATCATGACTTTTAAAACGGTAGTTTGATATTAGGTTAATACCTACTAAAGTAATGCTGGTTGGTAGATATAAATAAAAATAAAAATTTCAAAACTTATTCTCTTAGATTCTTCTAATATTCTCCATTTGCTTTTTAGAGCGTTAATCACAAAATACGAATACAAATTGCCAATGAATACCAATTTAGTTGTAGATTTTTATTTCGGTCGGAAGACAGTTTACCCCCAATAGTGTTACTATAAAATATGAAATAGAATCCGGGCTGTTCATTAAATGTATTTTCAGCAGATGCCAGCAATAAGAAAGCGAAAACAGTTGTGTTTAATCAACTAAAACAGAGGAAAAACGAAGTAAAAGTGCAAAAAAGAAAAACTGAAAGGAGCGGAAGAGTAGTGGGTGGCATTCTGAGTGGGTTTGTGGGTGGGTGGTGCTTGTGTTGCAAAACTTGTCAACGCCCCCGTAAAATTGTTCCCTTTCGCGATTTGTGGCAGGAAATTTATCAGCTGCAAAATATTCAAAGAATATTGGAAACTTAACGAAAGGCAATTAGGTAAATACTCTTTTTTGAGAGTCCGGAAAATGTATTTTTTAAAATATTTTTTTATAAAATTTATACATTGCGTTTAGTTTTCAGAATACAGTATAGCGGTCTAACTGCAGTTTTTACGGTGTTTTTTCTTAAGAATATCTCCATGCATAGAGGACTTCTTCGGTCATGGCAGGAAAGTCTTTAAAAGTTAGAAAGCATTCGATGCAGTTATCTATAACCGTTGGGCAGGAAAGTCCAAAAATCAAAAACAAAATTCAAGAAGATACTTTTTTATGGCAAATTGTAAAAAAAAGCCTACTTGTTTTTTTTAGCAAAACACTTAAAATCGTAGAAACGGCTGCTTCGTTTTTATAGCTAAGCACGCGACTTTGAAATTTAATTATAAGATAACCATGCACATCCCTTGATAAACTTCAGAACCTAAATTCTTAAGAAATCGCAGTTCATCGAAGCAATTTTTTTTTTCAATTTTTAGGGCACATTAAGACTTCCAACATTAATATGTTTAAACAATTTTTATTTAATTTTAAATAAAAGCTATGTATGTGCTTTAGAGTAATAAACCAACATATGTAAACACGATCTTTTAAAAAGTATAAAGCCCCTTTCAAAAAGAATTTAAAATCCCAATCGATGAACAGTCCCGGACATAAACAAAGCACCCTTTTAAAAAAATGGAGTTGTCTATATCTGTTGCTATTCGTTAATATTTCTGGCCATAAAAACCAATACTCACCCCAAATCAGGCCACATAAAGTCAAATGATATATGAAGTGGGCGAGAGGCAATGTAAAAAAAGTCCTTTCCAATCTGGCAGACAATCTTTTCACAGGATGCACAATACTTCTTCGTTTTCGGTTGTTTTTGCTGAGTGTTGGGGTAATTCTGCAATTAAAAAAGAGAAGCAAAGCCAAATTAAAGCCTCGGACTGTTGAATGAACTTTTGTGCTGTGCCCTGTTTTTGTTGATAAGCCAAATGTAATAAAAATACCAAGTAGGGAATGGGTCGTCCAGTCGTCGAGAGGAAATATCAAATGGCGCATTAAAGAAAGTACAAGTAAACAAGTTTAAACAATTTTAGTTTTTGAATATATACATAACATCCGGAGAATGATAAGCTATTTAGTTGTTCTTCCGTGAACTAAATTCACTCACTAGAAACCAAGGCCAAAAATAAATGCGACTTGGAGTTTTTTGGAAAGCTGTATTTATCTTTATGGCTCATTCCACGGCAAACGTGACAGGCAATTTGGAGTCGAATCTCAGAAAAAATAGATAGATGAAATCCCTAAACATTTATTTTGTATTCATATTTTTTAATTAAGCACCGCTTTGTGGATGAATACACTAGAGACTCGTTTTGAGGTATTTTACTATTTACTTTGTTGTTTAGGTTAATATCTTTTAGAAAAATGTTTAAATTTAAAATTGAGTAATTTTTAAGAAACAAATTAAATGTATAATACCTAAACCTTCTAGTAAAGAAGACGATTTTTGTTCTGCAAACTTAGTTTCAAGCGATAACAGCGCAATGAACGCAGCATTGCTTAAGTGCGTTTTTCTCGAAGCCACGTTTCGAGAGTCTGTGTTCATCTGCATTTCTAAACGGCTCAACCGATCGTTTTCAAATTTGTCGCAGATTTTTCTGCATAAAAAATACCCGCCCCTGAAAAGGGCTTCCCAGGAGCGGGTTTTTTAATTCTTGAGCGAAATGTAAAAACAAAATGGAAATCCAATCATTTTTAGCGGAAGTACAGTGAACACCGCAAAACGCCTTTTTTTATTAGTGTTCCAGCAATCGCTTTGCCACCGATACATTAGCCGAAAGTATCGGCTATAAAAATTAGTGGATGTTATTTATAGAAAAAATCGCAAAGTTAGTCGATTTTTTGGTGCCAAAGACCCTACCCCCCCTTAAAGGATAATCTTGAAATGTTCTCCGTTACAGATTTGTAATTATACTTTTTACAAAAGAAATCTAAAAGCTTTAGTTGGTCTTGATGTCTATTTAATTGATATCTTGGTGGCCTTAAAGCCCACTGGGGTGTTCCCCTTTTTGGACAAAACTTAAATTCATTTTTTTTTCGGAGTACTGCTCCTTCTTTGTTTTGTTCGAACCATTCTATGTTACAAATCCAGTTATTTGTTGAATTTGACAGTTTAATTCTACGCCTCGATGAACGAACCGAACCCCAATCAGAACCGACCCCTCTTTAACCCTCACGCAATGCCATGTGTCTATTTCAATCCCAAAGATACGGATGGATGGCGGGGCGGATTACAACAGTGGGCTCGTGACGATAATTTGACTGCGCCACGAGTTGGTGAAACGAAAACACGAAATATATGTCTTTGCCTTTATTCCAATAATTGTATTTCATAGTGTGGTTAACCATTGACAGAAATGGGTAAATTATAAAAATGATTTTATTAAGTCTTTAAACATTAAATGAATATTTTATTTTAATCGTTTTTTTAGCAATCGATTTGATCCATCTTCGATTCATCGTGTTTTATGAAAGAATAGCGTATTGACATTTTTTTCAACTACATAGTTACTACATACATATGTACACATCCATTACATTTCGTGAATGAGAATTTACTCACGCGAGCACCTCCAACGTGATAAAGACATCAGATGTATCTGATAGCATGCTTAGCTGCTGATTTGAAAATCAAACAACTTTGACATTTTGATTTTCAAGGAAAATTTCAGTTGAGCCTCCACTAAGATATTGTGTCCTCCTGACTTTGAAAAATAAAACAAAAATTAAAAAACAAGGCCTCCAACAAATTGTTTATACATCTAAACGGCCCAATAACTGAAAATAAATTTGCATCGGGGCACGAAATTTTCTATGTCGCCTATTAGACATTCATGTTCGTGCTTGCTAATGGATTTCAGGGGCGGCACGAGGACCCAGGGGGGTTGGCTGCTTAGGGCCCCAGGGGTAAAACTTGTCCAGAAATCAAGCGAGCAATCAAGAAAGCAACCAGAAAGCCAGCGAAGAGCAAATCAAGAAAGATAATAAAAATAAAACGAGTGAGATATGCCGCCCTGTGCCAAAAACAAGTTTAAATGTCAAAATGTAACTCTCAGACGACAACGAGAAAAATAAATATACGAAAATAAAACCCGGAGAGACAACAACAATTGCAGCAATATTGCAAGTTGCTGGGGCGCCGCAACAGCAACAAAAATCAAATTAGCGCCTGTTGCAATCGACAGACGTTGTTATTAATGCTTTTTTTTTGCTTTTTTTACTGCCGTTTATAATTCGCACTTATGCAAAAAAAAAAAGTAAAAATTAAACGCAAATTTTTTTACTTGTTTTCTTCTGGCAATAAAAACGGGGAACAACTGCAATAACAACAATCGCAACGAGTTGGCAAAGAAGACATATAAATGATAATCATTATAAGTCCGTTAAAATTTATGAACAATGAAAACTTCAACGACCACAAAAATTCCAGGGGAAGAGACGGAAAGAAGACGTCAAGCGAATTTACATTCAAAAACTTAAAGGGGTTTTTTCGCGGACCATGTTTAATTTTCGAACGACTAAACTGATGAAAGCCGGTATTAATTCTCGTAGACTCGTTCTAGGTGAATCTGAAGCAAGAATTGCAAGTCAACGTGTAGAACTCGATGTGAACAAATTCAAAAGAATATGTGAACAATGTTTAACAATGAAACGGTATAAAACCATCTAATTCGTTAATCCAGAGCACAATTAACGAGAACAACTTTCATTTTTTTAGTGTGGTTCCAATTCCACAGCACCTCAAAATCTCCGAAGCTTTGTGCAAGTCAACCGTTAATATTTCACAATTTTTGTAAATCGTTAGCTGTGGGATATAGCTAAGGTCTTGAACTCGTCCGATTGCAAAACAGATTGCAAGACAAGAACCGCGACCAAGACACGATTAAAGCTCAATTAATTGTGCTTGACAATGACAGGGAGACAACATCATCGCTTATACTCTATAGACTACAGCCGATGGAATAAACCAGCTCCGATGTCAGGGACAGCCCAAAACACACGTCGTATGTGGGGGTGCTTAAGGGGGTGAGGCTTAAGTCATATTCATTATCAGCAATGACATATGCAATGCATTTTTAAGTATTAGTCTCTATCTGTTTTTAATTTAACAAAGTGATGCACCTAAAACTCAGTACTAGGAGTGATATCAAGGGGTAGTGCTTCCTCGGAATAGTCATCAAGTCATTCTCCCAGTGTAGCTCACTGCATAATGCAGGTCAACGTTCTCCACTCCACTCGCGAAATGTTTTCCACAATTGTTTTTGCCTTTCCTGGCTTTTTGCGACTCCTCTCAAACTGATTTGTGTTTCGATTTCGATTAGACCAAGACGCGGGCGTTCTGCTTTGCTCTCGGGTAGTTCACTCAAGTCATTAAACTTTCTATGTCTGCGCTTATCACTGTTGTTTTTGCAGCTGCCTTCGTGCTGCCCGCCAGCAACATGTTGCAGCCGCTCGGCCTCTCATTAGGCAACAACAATACGGCATCTATTGCAGCCCTGATTTATCTGGTATCTCACGTTCGCGAAGGGCTTGGTCGTGATCCACTGGCCTGTTGCCATTGGATAGTGGATAGTGGATGGTGAGTATCGGGTATTGGCCACCCATGAATTCCAGTTTCTGGCTGCCGCACACCTTGATTATTCAGCAGCACTACAAAGTCATTCACAGTTTCTAAGTTGGCAACTCCCTATGCCGATGCTGTGGTTTCCAATATTATTTGCTCACCTAATTGTCCTCTTTATGGGACGCTTTCACATTAAACCAGTTCCATACTCTGAAGCACAATACTTCTTTCCCTTTGAACCCCACTCGCATCATTTTGTTGGTACTATTCCTTATTATTAAATCACATTATTGGGATTTGTGTTCTTCCAAATATGTTCAAAATTGTGTAACAAAATTTTAAAATTGAAATATTTCAAAATTCTTCGTTAAAGAGTTAGCTTTTGGGATGCTCAATTAGTGATAAAGAATTTGAAATACATTTGAATGAAACCGACTTCCAAGTTGTGGTTTCAAAGCTAAGAGACCCAAATAACCTAAAAAATATAAAAAAAACAAAAACAAATTTTTTAACACCCTATGTTTTTCATAATTACAAAAATTTAAAATTCTTAGAAAACATCTGACCATGTTATGATATTGAATACTTGTTCAATCCATTTTAATGCCTTAAATGTTTGTCAAAACAAAGTTTCTCAGTTCGAAGTAAGCTTGACATTTTTTAAAGCAACAATTATTTGATGAATCAGGTAATTTTATTCTATTTTTTAAGTGGTGAATAAAAAAGCAACATAGTTTTGTCACTGTACATCTGTATCAGCGGCAAGTCAGCATTCGCGGTCAAACGACCTCTCTCCACTTTGTTTGGGCTGAGGGCGCCATCAGTTCATGGGAATCCGGTCCAGAAGATGCCACACACAGCAAACGAGAGGCGGCAGAAGAAGAAGCAACTGTAGCACCAGCAATAGCAACAACTGCTGCAGCTGCAGCAATCTTTGACCCCGCGCTGCATTCCCAGGCATTGGCGTGGGTGCCACCAGTGGTGGCGGTGGCCAAGGGGGGGTTCTGGAAAGGGGGCTTCTAGGGCCACTGGCAACTTGCTTGCTTGCATTTCGCTGTCGCAACAATTTTAATACATTTCTCACATGATTTGCAGCGCATATACTCGCACCAAACAATGTGAACTGCTGGTGTTGCTGTTGCAAGTGTTTCGTGTTTCGGGCCCCATTGTTTGCAGATCTGGTTGTCTGTCAGTTGGTCATGTGGCCAAGTAATTGATCATGCCATGCTTTGTGCACTGCAGAAACATCAACGCCCAGCAGCATCACAAAGGCG